AGAAAGTTACTATGGTGACAGGGAAGATCAAAACACAAACTCAAAAGTAGACAACAAAGTCAAAACTCTATATTCAAAGTCTCTAAGAAAAATATGAATTGGTCTCAGGCCATGGAGAAGCTCAAAAAGGATTTTGAAAATCAAATAAGAGAGGTAGAAGAAAAATACAGAAGAGAAATAAGAGTGATGCAAGAAAACTTGAAAAAAGAGTCAACAGCTTGGTAAAGGAAGCACAAAAAATACTGAAGAAAATGACACCTTAAAAAACAGAATAGATCAAACGGTAAGAGGCACAAAAATCCAGTGAAGAGAAGAATGCCTCGACAAGCAGAATTGGCCAAATGGAAAAAGAGGTATAAAAGTTCACTGAAGAAAATAATTCTTTAAAAATTAAAATTGGGCAAGTCAAAGCTAATGAGTCCATGAGACATCAAGATACAATAAAACAAAATTGAAAGAATGGAAAAACAAAAGAAAATATGAAATGTCTCATTGGAAAAACAACTGACCTGAAAAATAGATCCCGGAGAGATAATTTTAAAATTATTGGACTACCTGAAAGCCATGATCAAGAAAAGAGCCTGAACATCATCTTTCAGGAAGTTATCAGAGAAAACTGCCCTGATATTCTGAAAATAAAATGGAAATTGGGGGTATCCACCAATCACCTCCTGAACGAGATCCCAAAATGAAAATTGCCAGGAATATTATAGCCAAATTCCTGGGTTCCCAGGTCAGGGAGAGGATATTGCAAGCAGCCAGAAGTAAAACAGTTCAGGTATCTTGGAGCCATAGTCAGGATAGCACAAGATTCAGCAGCTTCTACATTGAAGGATCAGGGGCTTAGAATGTGATATTCCTGAGGGCTAAGGAGTTAAGATTGCAACCAGGAATCACCTACCCAGCAAAACTGATAATCCATAAGGGGAAAGGGGAAAAGATGGATGTTCAATGAGATAGAGGAATTTCAAGTATTCTTGAGAAGAGATCAGAGCTAAATAAAAAATTTGACTTTCAAATACAAGACTCAAGAGGGGAATAAAAAGGTAAATAGGAAAGAGAAATCATAAGGAACTTATTAAACTATTTATATTCCTACATGGAAAGATGATATTTGTAACTCATAAAATTTTTTCTCATTATTATAGTAATTAAAAGGAGCATATATAGACAGAGGGCACAGGTGTGAGTTGAATATGAAGGGAAGATATCTAAAACATAAAATTAAGGGGTGAGAGAGAAATGTACTCTATGAAAGAAAGGGAAAGGTAGACTGGGATATTAATTATCTCACATAGAGGAGGTAAGAAAAAGCTTTTACAGTGGGAGGGAAGAGGCGGGAGGTGAGGGAGAGTGAATGAATCTTATTCTCATCAGAATTGGCTCAGAGAAGGAATAACACATACACTCAATTGAGTGTAGAAATCTATCTTACCCTACAGGAAAGTAGGGAGAAGGGAGAAGGGGTGATAGAAGGGAGGGCAGATTGGGGTAGGGGGTAGTCAGAAAGAAAATACTTTTGAAGAGGGACAAGGTGAAAGGAGAGGGAGAACAGAATAAACAGAGAGGAATGGGATGGAGGGAAATACAGTCAGTCTTTTACAACATGACTATTATGGAAGTGTTTTCCATTACTACATGTGTATAACCTATTTTGAATTGCTTGCCTTCTCAATGAGGGGTGGTGGGGAGGGAGGAAGGGAGAGAATTTGGAACTCAAAGTTTTAAAAATGAATATTAAAATTGTTTTTACATGTAACTTGGAAAAAATAAAATACTGAATAAAAAATTGGGGGGTGAGAAATGAAGGTTTGTTGAAACAGCCAAACCCAGCATAGAAAGGTATAGCAATCCAGTCAGGGATAGAGTCACATGAGGTGCCCCCACTATCCCATGATGCAACATTTTAGGTGGTGGCTTGGAAAGTAGTGGGATGTACTATCTGGTATAAGGCCCAGTATCTGTGTAGGTTTTCAATGAGAGTCTACAGTAGCAGCTATTATGCTGATGATGGGACAAAGGGGTCAAGGAACACAAACCAGTAGTAAAAGGGGATTTTTTTAAATTTCCCAGGAAAATTTGCTCATGATGAAGAAGATAGAATTTTAATTATGCCACATCAGCAAATTTGCTAATGAGTTTTAGCAGTCTGTTATAATTACAATTGAGTGCAATTGAACCCTTAAGCATACTAGTTATGATAACAGGATACAGTCCCAGGAGAGAAGGCCCACAGCTTCCTCTGATTATTCACTAGAGCAGTCTTGGGTTTGTTTTAAGGAGAGGGCAGGGTCTTATTCGGTTTCAGTAGGGTTATTTTACCACCCTTGGCATTATGAGCAAGGAGGCAATAAGATGTGCCTAAGGATATGATCCTTCCATGGGGCATGGAAGCTTCCAGCTGTTCTGCATTCTAGAAAAGGCATGGTGTGGGAGGAAGGAGTGTGTCTACAGCACAGTATATTAAGCCTTAGAGATGGCAGGAATGTGATATTCCTGAGGGCTAAAAACAAATAAACAAACACAAAAACAAAACAAAACAAAATGACCCCAAAATTCTATTTAAAAAATGAATTGCTATTATATGATCTGTTGCACTTAAGGAAACTTTACCCACTGAAAATCATATCTGGATGGCTGCTCCAAATCTGTGCATAGGCACCCCTCAGGAAACTGGCAGAGGGTGGGATAGGTCCCTTCTCAATTGCACAGTGATCCACATGTCCTATTAACTATGATTAGCTTCCCTGATCCATATCTACCATGTTTTCCATTTGTTTTCATTATGAAAGGCCCATCTTAAACAAAACTTTCAAGGCTGAATGAATTTGGGATATTTTCAATGGGGGTAGTTCTCCAATGATGCAGATACAACCCACTCATGTCTTACAGTCCTGTAAAACTTTTGATGTTGTTTAAACCCTTACTACATGACTAGACACCTTCTTTTCCAGTCATACAGTTGTTGATTAACAATGCGTTCAAGACTGCTCTCAACCACCATGCACTTCTCCATTGTCCCGTGTGAACCCTCAATTTAATTTTTCAGATGCTATGACTCATGATGATTCACCATTGCATTGACGTTTAAAAGATGAGCTTTTGTTTGAGGGAGCATTACACAGCTTCCCAAAAGCAATCCAACACACTCACCTCCCACTGTTCAATGTTTGGTACAGCTTATTGTCCATGCGCAGTGTCTGCCCAAGCTCTATGTCCTTATGGACTATCTCTTTCGGTTGGCCATCCAACGATATATCACAATCTGGACAATTGGTATTTTCTGTCTTCAGATGAACCAGATTAATATATCCATCTAAACTAGTTGTGGATGGCCGAGCAGAATATATGGTCCAAAAAAGTGTAAGTTGGACTAGGTGGCCAACTCACCCATTGCTAAAATCTCTCCCAACTCTCCAATTCTGTGACTGTGTGAGATCCTGGACTTGGGTGGATAATGGGACTGACCTCAAGTTCTTGGAAGTTAAGCCTAAAAAAAAAAAACACATGGAAACTCCATGTCCCTGATCTGCTTGAAGACTTCTACCATTTTTGGTCATGACCTTGAGGTGGCAGCAGGTGGCCAAAGAAATAGCATTAGTTTCAAATCCCAACTCCACCACTCCCTAGCCAGGTGACCCCAAATGGACAAGTCATTTGACCTTTCTAAGCCTTTTATTCATCTCCTATAAAATAGGGATAATGAAACTAATTACCTACTTAACAGGGTTGTTGTGAGAATCAACTTAGGTATATATTAGGGGGAGTGTGCTAGAGCAGATTAAATTAATTCACTAGAGCTTATTGTTAATGTAAGTGTAAGCATTAGAAATTGGCATATGCAAGGGCAGCTAGGTGGTGCAGTGGATAGAGCACCGCCCCTGGATTTAGGAGGACCTGAGTTCAAATCTGGTCTCAGACACATAACACGTACTAGCTGTGTGACCCTGGGCAAGTCACTTAACCCCAATGCCTAATCAAAAGAAAGAAATTGGCATATGCAAAAATTGGGGCTTTATTTATTGTTTTCTTGATTCTCTAGAGTTAAGAGACAGAGAAAATGTTAATAATGCAGATTGAACTTAAAAGTATGTCATGTGAGGTTTTTTTCTGGAGAACCAGTTGTTAAACATTTATCAGCAAACCCCTGTGTGTATACAAAGCAGTTTTTTAAACATTAAAGTTATTGCTGTTTTTAGCTACTGTCCAAACCCACAGCTATGGAGCCTTCAGCTGAGCTGGAAGTGTAAACAGCACATGCTACCATGAAGTGCTATTTTCTGAGGCTGCTTCTCTGAAGCAAATTATCATGCTTTTTCATACTATATTGCCTTCTTCATGTTGTTGTACTGGATCTACTCTGTGAGAATCTAGTGTCTCACCTCATCCTATATTTTCATGCTAAAAGGCTTTGCTCTTTAGAACAATCTAAAGGGTTTTTTGGTTATTTGAAGTCCTGAATAGTGCTTAGATGCCCTGTGTCTTAGTGCTTGTCAACTCTAACCTGTTAAGCAAAGCCATCCAGTGGAGGCAGGGAGGAGGAAGACTTGTCTGATGGTCTAAAAAGCACAGAGGACAAAGTGTTTTATGAATGACTGTCGATTAATTGATTGCTAATATTTGTCTGTGCCTTATAAACAAAGACCCTAGGAAAGGCAGCTTTGTGGTCTGAGGAGTTTAACTGGTGGAAGTAGAGGTGAGAAAGAGATTAAGTGTTGCAGCCAAGACATCCAGATTTGCTGGTGGCAGGTATTTTTGTGGAGTTCAAGCCTGCAATCATAGTAGGGCAGAATATTGAGGTTTAATTGATTTCAATATATCAGAATTTGTGACGTGGCAGTCAAAAAAAATAATAGGACCTTGGGATGCTTAAGAAAAGTTTCATTCACTTTGGGGGTTGTGGCATAATAATGATTCCTCTAAAAACAGTAGTCTCCAGACTTTTTCATTACATACTCTATCAGTAAAAAAAAAAATTATTGAGCATACTCCCCTATTTATACATTTATATGAATTTATTTATAAATTACATACATGCTCTACTGTACACACATTATAAAACATATACACAAATACAAATTACAACAAACAATAGGTTATAACAGTGAACATAATAGCTTTTCTGGAGTCATGTTTTTGCATGAAGACAATCATCATATACAATGGAAAAACAGTAAGCAAAAGTGAATTGTCTCTGAATTCAACTCAGCAGATAAATGTATTCCTCTTTCTTTTCATGGTTCTGCTTAATGGATGTTTAATATCCTATTCATATTTGAAAATTTTGGATGTTTTCGTATGAGGATGAGGAACAGGAAGAAGGACAATTTGGTTGGATTGTACAGCGCATGAAGGACAGAAATGTATAACAAGGCTAGAAAGGCAGGTTGAGGCCAGATTGGGAAGGTCTTTAAATGCCAAACATTGGACTTTACATTTGAACCTAGAATGAATAGGAAGCCACTGAGGTTTCTTGAATTTGGGGGGAATATGGTCAGATCTGCTCTAGGAAAATCACTTTGGTGGTTGTCTGAGGAATAGATTAGAGTAGGGAAAGACTTGAGATGGGAAACCAATTAGAAGTCTAGTGCTGCAGCCTCAAATTGGTCTGGGAAGATAGGGAACGGACACATAGGGTGGTTAGGGTAGCCCTTTACCAATGACACCTGCTCAGATGTTGTTATAGGTAACAAGTAGGGTTTGGATTATAACTACCCTGGGCTTACCCCCGTACCAGAGGAAAAGTTAGGGGCTTACACAGTGTGGAATGAAAAATTGCTCAGAGATAAGGCATGAAGAGTAGGTTGTATTCAGCCCCAATATTGGCTACTGCAGGAAGGATGGACAGCTAGTTGATTACATATCCCTTGGGATCTGAAGACCCTTGCTATAGAGTACACCAAAGTACTCCCTTATTTCCTACGCTCCCCTCCATCAGTTCAGAGAAGCGAAGTAGAGCCCATATAGCCTAGTGTGAGTCTTTCATATATGGTGATAATGAATGGCAGGATGGAAACAACCTAGCCAAAGGCATCAGCAAAAGTTACCAGAAGCAGTATGGTCCTGACGCTTTTAGAGGAGATTCTCCAAGCCAGAGAGATCAGAAGGACTGGAGATGAGCAGAATGCTTCAAATAAGTTGAGTTTTGGCAACTCGTGAGAAGCAGCATACCATCAGGCAGAAAACTCTGGGTAACACAAGCTGGTGCTTAGCCAAGGATGTACCTGTGGATAAGAAAGATGTAAGTTAACAATGGGACCTCAAAGAGATAGGAAAGGACTAGGGGGAGGAAGGAGGCAAAGAGGAGGGAAATCCTGAGTTCCACCAATAAGCAATTGCTTAAGGTCACTTTTTTTTTGAGTATGTCCAATCTAAAAGGAAAACCAGGTTAAACACTCAAAGTTGGTCGATTACAAGAAACTAAAACAAATTTCATCTAGCTTCAAGGCTCTTTTTATATAGTTAAGCCCAAACCAGGTTTTCACTGGGGTGGGTTTGAGTGCATCTGCTAAAATTTTTTAGTTTGAGATAACATAGCTCCAGCTAGGCCCTACCTTAATCATACACATGAATGTTGATCTTGCTAGAGTACAGTAAAGCCAAAGAGGTTGTGTGGACAAGAAAGGAGAAACTGGGGGAAAGACTCTGATTTTGCATGTGGGGGCTGAGTGTTTCATTTCATGTCTTTCAAGAGCAGGAATCTAGGGGCAGTTAGGTGGTGCAGTGGATAGAGCACCAGCCCTGGATTCAGGAGGACCTGAGTTCAAATCTGGCCTCAGACACATAACACTTACTAGCTGTGTGACCTTGGGCAAGTCACTTAACCCCATTGCTGCCACGCAAAAAAAAGAGCAGGAATCTAAATTATCTAGACTACTGCTTCTTCACTTCCCCCCTCAAAATGCCTGCATCCTAATATCCTAAGGCTGGAAATGTGGAAACCTGGGCTGTCAACAGAGCCAATACCTGCAATGGTAAGGAGACAGAAGAATTAGCATTTCCTCTCAGAAATTCTCCATAATTTTGAAAAAATTAGTTCCAGAGGATGCAGGAAATCACCCATACATGAGAAAAAAGGAAAAGTCTCAATTGTTGCCAAGGTACAGATGTTGTTTACTGTCACATAAAACACCAGTGCACAAACCCATCAGGGTGCTCCGTGTGTAAGACTTCACAGAGTACACAGACCAGCTCAGCATACAAGACTCCCCAGGAGACTTGTATAACACAATGGAATATAAATGCACTGCTCCGTTATTACAAAGCCATCCTCTCTCCCTTTCCTTCCTGCAAAGACAACCAGCTTTTTAAGTAGCTGTGTAATTAATAGGACTAGACAAATATCCAGCAAGTTCTACTTCTGCAAGCTTTTAGGCGCTGGTCTTGCACAACCCAGCATGAGTGAGAGGCAGGGAGCTTCAGGAGGGCTATTGACAACAGCGTTTTTACCATCCCCCAAACTCAGCTATCCTGGATTCCTTATTGTTACTAACACATGCCTACTCTGAAGTAGGGAGGAAAGGTTGCTTATTTCAATTAGCAGTGACAAAAGTGTAGGGCTTTAGCACTGAGAAAATCAATTTGTTGTGTCCCTCCCCACATCCAAAAGTAGTAAGTTTGTGTTTAAAGAGAAAGGGGCCCTGAGCAGTCTCTGTTTACACACATATGCCAATACCTTTATCTCTTAAACCTAGGGAAAGCAGAAATCTAAAGTATATAGGCTCTCAAAGAGCAGAGTAGTCCAAACCCCAAATTCTAGGCTGTAGAGACAACCCTGGAAAGAGATGGGTGAAACACTGTTATAAGTCCAGTAATAAAGTAGGGCAAAATCAAACACGTTCACCTATAGCATCACCCATACTTACTGTGGCCAGAGGCAAGGAAGGATCATAGAATCACAAATTTAGAGCAGGAAGAGACCTTAGTTAGAGATCATTGAATCCAATCTTTTCATTTTGCAGATGAGGAAACTGAAGTGCAAAGACTTGCTAGCTAGGGTTTTGCAGCTAGTGAATGTCTGAGGCAGGACTTGAACTTGGGTCTTCCTGACTCCAGGAATGCCATCCTGACTCCAGGAAAGGCAAGGGAAAGTAGGAGAGTCTGAATCCTTGGGAGCTCCAATAAGGCCAACTTGTCTAAACCCTAGGTCCTGAAGAGCCAACTATGGTGAGGACTTGAATGAATCCCATAAGTTTGTTGGCGACAAGTATCATCATCATTTAACAGCTGTTTAACCTGAGGCAAGTCCCTTCAGCTCCCCCAGCTCTAATTTCCTTATTTATTAAATGTAATACCTGCATTAGCTATCTCATAAAGCTGAGAGAAAATCAGAGGGTGGAATACTTAGAAAATAACTTGTAAACTGTGATGTGCTGTACAAATATGAGCTAGAAAACATTCCCCTCTCCCTGGAGACTGCTAATGCACCCTGAGGATGAATTGTCTAAATTGATGAGTGCAAACTGACCCAATCCACTACATTTAGCTGGCCCCAGCTCATGCTTCACATTCCACTCATCCATCCACCCTGGATATCTCACTATGTACCCTGCTTCCGTGTTCACCTATTTCTACCCTTTTCTCTAAGAACGATAATTAAATTAGTAATTAAATCATTGCTTCTGTAAAGGGCATGACTATCAGCTGCCTTGTGGCTCCTTTCATTATAACTCTCCTAACACAAGGGAGTGTTTCATTCTTACATGATAGACATATTTTTACTCATTCATTTGATCATATTGTGAGATACATGAGCCTTAGTCAATCCTCTGAAGTTTATCTTCTAAGTTAGTGGTTCTCAAAGTGTGATCCAAAGATTCCCGGAACCTTTCAGGGGTTTGGTGAGGTCAAAAGTATTTTCATAATTATTACTATGATGTTTTAATTCCTAATATAGTCAGTAATGATAGACATAATCCATATAAACAAGAGCTCAGTAATTTTTAAGAGTGTGAAGGGGTCCTGAGAACATAAAGCTTAAGAACGGCTGTACTGTTATCAGCCTGCAATCCACATCAGTGAAAGGTGTTTGCACACTGACAAAATCGCAGCTTCTTGATGTGCTCATATGAGACATATTCACCATAATTTCTTTCACCAATGATCTATTGATTCTATGTTTATGTTGAATTTTGCCATATAAAATTGTTTATTTTTATATAAAGCCCATTTTTCATCTCCAATAATGTCTTCTATTTTCCAGTACATTTTTTTCCTCTCCACAACTGAGATTTATAATTTCTCATTTCAAAATTTTTCTTTAGGTTATTATCAACTAGAATTCATTGTAGTCTTTCTGTACAGAGCATGTCTAAACTCATTCTATCACACTTGCTATCTAATTTCTCTTTCAAAATTCTCTTGAATGATATTTCTCTTCTAATATTGTGATTACTCAATACTAATAATCTCTTGTAAATTCTTGGTTCTATTTCGGATTGGCTATTCCACAGCTAATATGCCTCCATTAGCTCTTGGTTTTGTGTTTTGTTCCTCCTCACTATTTTTATTGATTTGAGGAGAGGGGAGTCCAGACCTACGATTTCACATTAATACTCTTGTATATTTATTTCCCTATATAATTTTTATTTCATCTAATGCTATAAAGTAACACACATGATATCTTCACTGTGACTTAAGTAGAACTATAATTAGTGAAGCACTGGAATGTGTGCTGAAATTTAGTATAATTATAATCATAAAGTCATGGAAATAATTTGTGGGGACATCCCTTCAATTATTCAATTTAATTACTTATATCAGTTAAATTGACTTCAGAGTTCCCTGAATAGATATATTGTATGTGTCTTCATAGGTGGATACCCAAAATTTGTTGATATTTGAAGTTGTATTTCTCAATTGCCCCTATTTTTTGGTTATTCATATAAAAAAGCAAATGTTTTATGTAAGTTTGTTTTACATATCATTACTTACTAATTTATTAACTAAATTCAAAATTTTATTGGGCATCTTAGATTTTCTAGACAGGCAATCATTTCATCTTTGTTGTTGAGTAGTCTTTCAATCATGTCTGATTCTTCATAACCCCGTGGATCACAGCATGCCAAGACTTTCTATCCTCTATTGTCTCTGAAGTCTGTTTATGTTCATGTTTATTGTTTCCAAGACACCATCTACCCATTTCATTCTCTACCATCACGTTTTCCTTTTAACTTCAATCTTTCCCAACACCAGGGTCTTTTCTAATGAGTCCAATCTTCTCATTATGTGATCAAAGTATTTAAGCTTCAGCTTCAGTATTTGACCTTCCAGTGAATAGCCTGTTATTTTTTTAAGTACTGACTGATTTGATCTCTTTGCTGTCCAAGGGACTCTCAAAAGTGTTCCCTAGAACCACAATTTGAAAGCATTAATTCTAGAGTGTTCAACTTTCCTTATAGTCCAACTTTCACAACCATACATTTCAAAAACCACAGCTTTGACTGTGGACCTTTGTCAACGAGGTTATGTCTCTACTTTTAGTATGCTGTTCAGATTTGCCATAACTTTAGTTCCAAGAAGCAAGCCTCTTTTACAACTAGAAATATCTTTGTCCCTTTGTCACCAATGTGTATTCCTTTTGCTTTTCATGCTTTAGACAAAATATGTTATATAGAAATGACCAAATTGGGCAACTCCTACTTGCACCTTTCAGGTGGTAATTCTTCTAACAGTTTCCATTTTATGTCAGCCCTTCATTTCAAGTAATTGTTTTATTATGATAAAATATCATTCTGTTCAATTTTTAAAGGAATTGGCACAAATGAATATTGTATTTTATTAAATTACCATTTCTCTGTGGGACAGCTAGGTGGCACAGTGGATAAAATGCTGTTGCCAGAGTAAAGAAGACTCATCTTCATGAATTCAAATCTGACTTCAGACACTTAGCAGCTGTGTGACCCTGGGCAAATTACTTAACCCTGTGTGCCTCAGTTCTTCATCGATAAAATGATCTAGAGAAGGAAATGGCAAACCACTCCAGTATCTTTGCCAAGAAAACCCCAAATGGGGTCACAAAGAGTTGAACAGGACTAAAACTACTGAACAACAATTTTATTAAAGGTCTCAATATACATATAATCTTATATAACATAAAGCCATAATTTTAATTATTGCTATTATTAATGAAATTTATAATATTATTTCCTTAATATTGAAAATCTTTATATTCCTGGCATAAATCTACACTAGATATAATGAATTCTTTTTCATTTTCCTCTAT